GATCCACTGCATGTCCTAATTCCCCGCCCATTAAACCCTACAACAACCGTTTTCGTAGGAAAACATGCAGGGTGTAGGGATTAATGTGTGGGGCTACATAATCTACTGTTGCCGGTTTAACTTATTACCGACTACTAGCCTTCGAATTTGCGTAGGCGAAACTACGCGACTCCAGCACTTATCATCGATTGAATGCACTCACGAAAGGACATTGGGTGCAATGAAGCACAAACAACAAGATTTTTGCGTCATTCGCTAAATCTGATAGTCTCAATCATGAGACTGAGCGAATGAGCTTTTCAGATTTGGGGTCAATAGGTGCGTCGGCAACGCTGCTGCCCCTAAGCGTTTGACACAGAATTTAATAGCATGCAAGGCAAAATAGTGAATCGTGTGCGCATCCAACGAGTGTTGGTTAGGCCGTTTTCAATAAATCAGCTAACGGAGCAGGTCGTGCCTGCCATTCTTGTACAAATGCCCTCATTGGAGATGCAGTATGACGAGTGGGTGCCGGAGACTGGGGATGCTTACACAGAAAAGGGTAGCATTACTGTTGGCTATGAAGATGCTCCAAAGAAACTGCACTACTTTCAGCTGGTAAATTTGGTTGCAAAACTCTCTGATCCGCCACATTATAGTTTCGTTACGCAAAGAAATGGGAACTGGCCTGTGTGATTATTGGCCTGCTGGCAAGCGCGGCCAATGGGTTTTTAATGCCTCTGAGCATGCTCTTTTTTGCCAATATCGTGGACGATCTTATTGTTTCAAAGCCGGACCTCTTGAACGCCATCCTTCCACAAGTGAAAATCTACGCTATCATTGGAGGAGCTTCATTAATTCTGGGCTTTATACAGGCATACCTGCTGTTACTTGTAGCCGAACGTCAGTCCAAGCGACTGCGTCTGCTGTATTTCAAAGTAAGATCAAAAGAATTATTTTTAAACGAATAAATATTTGCAATTATATTTTTTATTGGGGAGGCACACGCAAAAGTTAATAACAAGCATACCCTTCTTAGGCTTACTGATAAAAGTGGATGCCTCTAAATATGAGGCATCTTGTTTATCTTCGTATTCCCAGTGTTCCGGCTATTTTCTTTAATTTGCCTCACTCAATGACAAAGTATGCAAACGCTTAGATTGGAATTACTTTTGCTTTTATCCCCATATAGAGCAGATTATTTGGGAAAGACCGTGAGTTTGGAAGAGCACCCTTAAATCCACTCGCTGCTCAGTCATCTCTGGATTAATTTCTTTAAAATCGACAGCTTCCAAAATGTCCAATCATCATTTCTATTGGGGGCCGAAACAAAGGCGTTCCGTACAAAAAAGTTAATGACCAATTAAGTAAATTAACTGTTTCGTATTTTATAGTCACAAAGATCAGGCCCATGTAATTAAGAAGGGGAGAGATCTTAGAAGAGGTTTCATGCCTTCAAAAGAGTTCTGTACAAAGACGCAGATATAAGCGGATAGGGTCATTATTTTTCCGCATATTTATCAAGGTAACCTTTTTATAAAAAGCGGGAATGGATTTTGGCCACCGTAGACCAATAAGATTGGAGAAATTAATTTACAGTTGACTGAAGCTCTTCTTCGCAATGGTGAAGGGAACATAGTTTTGGCAACTCCACTATCATATACCGGTTGGAAACAACGATGATTTTGAAATCAAGGGAGACTGTTCGCATGAACATACTGAAAATCAGCAACATCCAGTGCAGTGTTGTTAGTCAGCTACATGAACATTTTGAAATATTTCAACCATTCCGCTTCATTTGATACTAACAGGTGGGGAGACTGTTTTCTGGTGATTTAGATTAAAAAGGTAGTGGAGAAAGGATCAGGAGTCTCCTTGGATGTTAGATGTTGGCAAACGAAATGAATTTGACACAGGCGTTCGACACCTACTGGTAGCGACAGCGCATTAATAATCATATATAGAAAGAATACGGTATGTATATGAATGGGTATGACTAGCTGACGAAGGCTTATAAGCCAAAAATGACCATCCTAGTCTCCATTGGTTTGTCGGTAATGTCCTCGAATTTAATTGCCACAGTCCTATTAAGCAGTAGGCAGAATCAATTGAATATGCGTGCACAAGAACCAGAATTTATCAATTTTTCTGCTTACTCATAGTTTTTGGGTCATCAGTTAGCTTTAGAGCGCGCGGAGATCTGGAACCCGTGGAATAGCCGCACAAGCATGAAAGGCATCATTATCTTCTTTACTATAATGCATTATTACCTGCTTAGTAGGTCCAATGAAGAAAAGGTGATAATCCGGATATGGGTCAGTCACGATGGAAGCGAAGTAAATATTAACTAAGATCTACGTTTCACTTAACCCTGAGAACGTGCTCCGGTTGACATTGAAAACGCTCAACTGAGCTTAACAAAACTTTTCCATATCTACCTTCTGCATAACTACTATTTTATAAAAGTATTGTATGCACTGCATGATAATACGCTGTTACGTCATTGAACTTGGCAGACATCAATGATGGTGACGTTTTGGAGAAGGAGATTGCTCTCCAAGATGGCGAACGGCTGACAACCAGCCATGTCTTAAAAGATTGTATAGACAATATGAGACGTCATAGTGACAGAGAGAATAGATGCTGCGATAATAGTTATGTTGTGTTCACTCAAATATCTTTGCAGACATCAGATATGTAAATAAAAACCAGCGTCTAGACATGGACACCCGTACAACATTTTTAGCGAAGTTGAGAGACAGCTTAAGTTAGGTTAAATGTGCTGTGTTGTCTTATATTCAAATTAAAATATCCTTACAGCGGAATTGCAAAATAAAACAAACCACAGTAGCCACAGTAAATTCACGTAGAAATTGGAGTTGTGAACTCTAGAATATACGGAATTTAAGTCTACGTCAGTTTAGCTCTCAAAGTGGTTTCCCAGAAGTAAGACTGAGAGCATTACTTACTCTTTGCGCAAAAAAGATATGCTTTATATTATGCTGCCTTTCAGAGCGTACTACGACAAGACGTTGAATGGCATGAGAAGAATGCGGTCGGCACTGTTATTACCAGACTCAGTGACAGCATCGACCAGATCGAGGAGGGCACTGGGTCCCATCTGACAAATTTTCTGCGCGACATGTTCCAGTTTCTGATCGGTCTTATTATTGCCTTCACAAAGGGCTGGAAGCTGACCCTGGTCTCTGTGGCTCTGATGCCCATAATCTCCCTCGTCTTTGCTGCTCTGGGCCTGTCTATTCAACTCTTTGTAGGAATTGAACAGAAGGCCTACAGCCGGGCCAGTAGCGTCGCTGCCGAGGTTCTGAGCGCCGTGCGTACAGTGTTGGCCTTTGGAGGCGAAGGCGAAGCCACCGAACGCTACGGACGTGAACTTTCCACCGCTCAGAGGGCGGGTGTTAAGAAAAGTATGGCCATTGGTGCAAGTGAGTTTGTTTTTGTCAGCTTCACTAAACGTTTATGGCGGAATTCCTTTTTGTCTTAGGAGTCCTTCGTAAAGTGCAGTCACTAGAAAATAGTATGGAAGAGCAAGCTCTTACAGAAATAGTCCCCAGAGAAACACTTTTTGGCAAATTACTGTCATTATAATATAAATAGATCAAAGCTAAGGGCCTGTGGTGCTTAAAAGATTAGACGGTCCAGTTTTACATTTATTTTGCTGCAAAATATTCGCGACTTCTACGCGTGCGCAGATTCCCCTTTTAATGGCACGAAAAAGTGTTAGGTTAGAGGTAGTTAAAAACTGTAAAAGTATGCAACGGATGTGATCAACATAATGAAATTGTACAACTTATCTTAAACTGAACACAATATTCCAAAATTTATTGCCCAAATTCGAAGATTGAGGATTTTCCGCTCTGGTAAAACAAACATTTTCAATCTACAACGTAGTCATTCAAGAAAAATAATTTTTTCCCGAAAACGAAAACCTTCAGAAATTCTGTAAATATCAGTTATTTACTGTAAGAAAAGTAAGGCATCCCACAATACAGAACCTCAATGATGAAGCGTATATCACGAGTGAAAAAAAGACCTTTCCCAATATATTCAGTTTGCTAGGCCTTAAAAATCCGAGTTTAAGCGACTTGCCTGGTGAAATATCGAAATATCGAATATCAAAATATCGAATATTGGTACATTATTCGACTTTATTGTTCAACGAACTGATTTCTTTATCGCCCGCATAGTACAATATTATTTTAGTTGGCTGAAAACTGTTACGGATATGTCGTACAGCGGGTCATTTGCAACAATTGACATTTGTGACAGCGGCAGTTGAAGTACTTGCCGTAGTGTGCCTATTTTCTATTATTAACGGACACACCTACAATATTGGGTTGATACCTGTTGCTTAAAATTATAAATTTAATTGGATAAGAACTTTAAATATATCTAAACGTAAGCAAGAATACTTCAGCATCCTTGTACATATACCCACTATGGGACATTATACTGTAGAATACGAGGTAGTCCGGCCGGATAATAGATGATAGAACGTAGCCCAACGGTTACGAACTAGTAGATAAGATAGGGCGTGGAAGGCCAAAGTTTTATGGATAATTGAATTAAATGCAGAAGGAGTAGAATGTGAGTAATATGTGAGTGACTCCCAGACGAGTGCAGTCCAGCTATGAGCGGGCTGAGTCCAGAGTCGCATTCCGGCGGGTGTAGTCGCTGGGTCTGGGTGTCTGCA